GTACATAGAGAGATGGGCTTATTCTAGTCAGAATAGCAGGGAATTGATCACTGCAACTAGATAGAGCTTTGATGAAATGAGCTGGGCTAGAGGTATAAGCCAGTGGGGCTGGATAAAATTTGCATTCAGATGGTGAACAAATCTTTATTTCAGTATCAAAGTGAGTGGTTCTGTCAACAGATTTGGCTAAGCAGAGTTGCTTGGATCCTGCATCCACACTGCAGAAATAATAGAGTGTGACACTGCTTTAAATATCATGGCTCAACACTATGGAATTCTGGGAAATGTAGTTTGTTGTGGCACCACTACAGTTCCCAGAATTCCATGACATTGGACGTTATCACACGGGGTCTAAAGCAGTGCCATCCCCGGCGCATTGCGGCATCATTCCGGATCCTTTGCCTCTGTGTTCACATGACGTCGCAGCAAACCCCGCCCCATCCAGTGCCATCCCCAGCATATTGCGGCATCATTCCGGATCCTTTTTTCGTGTGTTCACACTACATCGCAGCAAACCCCGCCACATCCAGTGCCATCCACGGCCCATTGCGGCATCATTCCGGAACCTTTTTTCATGTGTTCACACGACGTCGCAGCAAACCCCGCCCCATCCCGTCCCATCCCCGGCGCATTGCGGCATCATCCCCGTTCTTTTCAATTCCTTTTTGAAAAAGGAATTACACTTGCCGCAACCAGAATCAATCAAGAATCATACCGGAATGATGCTGCTTTCTTGTGGGGTCCATTCCAGTATGGTTCTGGATTGATTCCATGCTGCTTTGAGACCCCAAGTGTGATAACGTCCATTGAGCCATGGCACTTAAAGTGGTGTTACAGTTGATTGTTTCTGAAGTGCAGATGCAGCCTTAGTAACGCCTCTAGAGAAGGACATAGAACTTCCTTATTTTACTCTTGTGCATGAGAAGAAGAAAAAATCAAATGTTGACTCTTCTCTGATGCTATTATGAGAGTTTTGTTTATTTTACAAAAATATTTTTTTGTACATTGGCCTTTGTAACAAAAAATTCAGTGGTGCAAAAAAGATGTTTTTGTGCCGAAATCATTCTGCTTGGTGTAAAATAACAGTACTGTTCAAAAGGAAACACTGCTGGTCTTTGCAGTTTCATTCAAGGACAAAAAAATAAATCCATGACATTTAACTTTTTTTAAAAAAATCCATTTTCACATTGAAAATGATAAAACTTATAAATATTCTTTGACCCTAACCTAGAGGAAATGCACTCTCATAATTGCTCCAGTGAAGAGTAAACATTTGAATTTTTTTCTTCTCATCAGATGAAATCAACAGAAGTTAGTCATGAAAGTCAGAAAGATCTGATTAAAACAAACAAAGGCTGTTGTGTATGTTAGAGCAGCTGTCTGAAAAACTAGATGACTGTCACTTCTCTGAATTAATCTCTACTTTGTTTACATTCTGATGTTTGGGTGCAATTAGATGTTGGCATGTAGGAGAGGTACCGCCATCCCTGTTTGCCACCACCCTCTGCTATTCACAGAAGAAAAGATAATATCAATACATTTTTTTTCTCAGAAGTACTTCAGATGTGCTGCTTTTTTTTAACAGTTGAATTAAAAAAGCAGCCAGATAAATATGAATACAGTTGGCTCTCTGTATCCATGGATTCTTTATAAATGGATTCAACCATCCACAGTTTGAAAATTTTAAACAAAATAAAAAATTCCAAAATGCAAACCTCAATTTTGCCATTTTCTATGAGCGACACCATTTTACTCCACCATTGTATATAATGGGACTTGAGCACCCACGGATTTCAGCATCCACAGGGGGTCCCAGAACCAAACCCCAGCAGATACCAAGAAGCCACTGTCTATCCAAGGGCAAGCTTTTGACCCTGCTTGTGGTTATTTATTTAATATTCCATTTTTCTACTCTATCTCACCAAGATATGAAATTCCTGTGATTCAGGTTGCATGTTAATTTTCCATGCAGAACCTATATTTCTGGTTACTAAAGTAAGCATTTAGTGTAGACACCAACCGTAAATACTTGAAAGTAGTTCCATCATTAGCCTGGTTTGGATCTAGTCTGAGGCTGCATCTGCACTGCAGAAATAATGCAGTTTGACACCATGTTAACTACCATGGCTCAATGCTATGGAATTCTGGGATTTGTACTTTTCTTGAGATATTTAGCCTTCTCTGTCAGAGAGTTCTGGTGCCACAACAAACTACAGATCCCAGGATTTCATAGGATGGAGCCATGGCAGTTAAAGCATCATCAAATTGCATTATTTCTGCAGTGCATGGGCATCAGTAGTGGGTTACAGAGAGTGTGGGCTGCACCAGGTGACACCCTAAGGGCGCTGACAACACTGCTTCCCAAACAGCTGTCTTTTGGCAGAAACTGGCAGTGGCATACACCTGTGTCCCTTTAAAATGCTTGAGATGTTGTGAATGTGTTGAGGCTCAGTGGGAGGAGAAAAGAGAGGCCTCAGATTTTAAATATGTTTTTAAATTTTCAATTAAAATTATTTTAAATTTTTCTTTAAAACCATACATCTTATTGAATGTTCACTTTAACCACATTAAACTATGTTAAGCTGTGCATATGATAATGTAATTTAAAGGTATAATTTTAAATTTTCTAGTTGATTATCCCCCTAAGCAGACCAGGGCGTCCAGGACGCCCTGGGACGGTGCGCCGCGGGACCATGGCAGCTGCACCGAGGCGCACCGTCGGTGCCTCTGAAAGGAGCGCAAAAATAGCACTCCTTTCAGAAGTCAGGGAAAGTGCGCCCTAAACGCATAGGGCGCACTTTCCCTGACCTTTCCGCCGCAGCATGTGCAGACGCTGCGGCGAGAGGCTGCCCTCGGAGCGCCGGCCGTGCGGAGGGCCGGCAGCTCCAAGGGCAACCTCGGGAGGAGGAAGGGGCACCGCTCATGCGGCTGCCCCTCCTCTTCCCTGCCTCAGAGACGACTTTATTAATCGTCTGCTGAGGCCCTAGGTCACAGCTATTGCAATTACATGAAGTGATATGTGAGAATTATGATTTATTAGTATCATACTACAAAAAACATTATTATGGATTCTTTATGATGCGGTATGGAAGGAGGTTAACACGGGAGGGATGACACCATGAGTTATTGCACCGGGTGATGTCAACCTAGTGATGCCACTGCTGCTGTGCAAAAGTTATACTTACAGTAGACCCACTGTTAGTAAAATTCCAACTTTGACCTGAAATTTGTAAGACCTAAAAGATTTGCAAAGTTCAAGCAACCAAAATCATATCTGATCCTAAACACTGATAATTACTAATAATAATTACTAATAATAATAATAATAATAATAATAATAATAATAATAACTCACAATATTCATGAGTGTCAGAAGATATTTCTGAACGTGTTCTTTCCCATGGAATTGTACAACTGAGTCGTCAACGCCTAAAAGCACCTCAATGTTGTAATCATCATCAGCTGCATGCCTTGGATATCTCCTTCTCCTTCGTGAGGTATCGATCTCATCTTTCAGTACATTCACCATGCTGTCTAGATTGCTTAGATCAGTCTCTGTAAGAAATTGAAAACACAGAAGTACTTATCTGTCACATTTCACTTCCTATAGGTATGTCATAACACCCTAGTGGCTAAGAAAGCTTTGAAGTGCTTGTGTTAATCAGCATCTATGAGAATTATCCACAAAGAAAATACATATCTTTTATTTCTTCTTTGGGTCTGACAGATATTAATTTCTTAATACGGCACCTCTGCATCCATGGGGGATACATTCCAGACTTACTGCGGATAGTAAAAATTGTGGGTAATAGTGAACCCTGTGTTTTGGGTAGAAGTTAACCATACAGTCATGTTGGAAGACCTCCAGATGTCTAGAGAGACTATATTTATTTGGACACAGATAAGTGAAACCATGGATACTGGTCTCACAGATAGAGGGGTTGTACTGTATTTCTGACTTTCTCTATAACAATAGATTTCTGGATAGGATATGACCAATAAAAGCATCCAACATAAAATTATACAGAAATAAATTCAATAGTAAAAGATCAAACAATTATGGCATAGTGGTTTGAGTGTTGGACTACAACTCTGGAGACTAGGGTTTGAATTCCTGCTCAGCCATGAAAACCCACTGGGTGACATTGGACAAGTCATTACCACAAATTATGCAGTCAAGTTTCCTGCATTTGGGGAAATCGCAGGGGTCAGCACACCCGGAGTGCAATCAGTGAGACACAAAGGTTCAGGTAACATGACAAGAAAATGGGATGAATGCCAATCCTAGCCAGGTCAGGAGGGGGAGAACATTTCATAACCAAGGTGCCACAGCCATAGTATTGACTTGCATGGCCTTCACCAAAAAACCCCACTTAAAACCAATACACACGCGCCCACAACACATATCATATAAGGTATAATTCATAAGAGCATAGCATAGACTCAGTTCTGAAATTCTTAGTAGTAACAAGACCAAAGACTTTTCAAAAAACTCTAAAGGATATTGAAAAATTCTGTCTTTAAATAAAAAAAATCTACTACCCCAAAGGAGAAGTGTTCAAGACAGGTGAGCTGCTGTCGAGATTTTCTGTGCAATGTTATACCTTGAAACCTTAATAATTTGTGAATAATGGCTAACCTGAAAATGGTCTTTTAGTCCCACTTCCTCAAATCAACTCTTTAAAATGCAAAGTCAGACTTTCAAATAATAACCAGAATTCTGTTGATGACATATGCAAGTGTTATGCCTGTTCTGGTTCTTGCAAAGAACTAAACTTTTTGCCTGCCCCCCCTCCCTGTGGCTGGGACATCAAGGCAGTATTGGGCTGTATTTTTTCAACCAACCATTACACAGCCAGATGCTTCCTGGACACCCGTTGTCCTCAACTGAACACAGAATGGCCATGGGGTTGGCACTGGAATCAGAAATATAGGTTGCATACACACGGAGTTGTGGGGTAGGTGGTGGCACTCTTGAATGCATAAGTATGTGTGTGAGAGCCAGTGTGGCATAGTGGTTTGAGTGTTGGACTATGACTCTGGAGACTAGGGTTCGAATCCCTGCTCAGCCATGAAAAACCACTGGGTGACATTGGGCAAGTCACATTCTCTCAGCCTCAGGGGTAAGCTATGGCAAACCTCTGAACAAATCCTGCCAAGGAAACCCTATGATAGATTTGCCTTAGGGTCCCCATAAGTCAAAATTGACTTGAAGCACACAATAACAACAAGAACAAATAACATGTATGGTTATGGGTGTGCCCACACATGAGTACAAGTTATTTTGTTTTTTCATATCATATACTGTGTGCACTGTATCTGACAAGCAGGCAGACAGAAGACATGGAATGCCATTGCACTATAGAGATTTTATATATATATACCAAAATGGGCTGACTTACTGTTAGTCACATGCACTGGTATAATACCAGACTATGTCTTTTTATGGTCACTGTGTAGGAAGTAATTCACTACCTCTCTTGGTTAATGATCATCAGCTCCCTTAAGAGTCACCTTTTTTCCTGCAGCCTTCTCCTCCCTGACACGGGCATATAGTGGCCAGGGGATCAGGGATAGCTCAGAAGGATCTGGCTATGTGCTTACAATTAGATGAAGAAGAACTATGCCATCTTCTAGGATGGTGAGTCTTGCAGAAGGGAAGAGGGAGTGGGGTTCCACCTTGGTTGAATTCTAAAATCATCTGACAGAGAAATGTGTAGAATACGAGGAGGTGAATTTGCTTAATACACTAAGCAAATGCAAACAGCATTACAGAGATCATATAATATCATTCACATGACTACGATATCAATATGAAGGTAAATAAACGGGATCACATTTTTGTTATCCTTTGCTTATCTTTTCACATTAATATTCAAGTGACTTTAATAAAAGGATGTCCAAACATAAAGGTTATTATCTCATCCAAAGCAAAAATGAGAAAGAGGGAGGCACAGGCTATTATAAGTTAAAAAAAAAAAAAAACCAGATAGGTTACAACAGTATATACAACAATATATTATTGATGCAAATGTGTAATATAGACATCCAAGTAATAAAATATAATAGATTGATGAGGCTTCCACTTCCACAGATGATTTTGAATTTCCTCTTTAGAAAAGGAAAATAATTTGATACAGTTGCCATCACAAACATTTATACATTTGATTTGTATTCATACAATGTTTAATTAATTTTACTCTTTGCAAAAGCTAAAAGTAATAAAAATGAAATTAAGCACACAATAAATAATAGTAAGGCTATTAATAAATTCTTCTTCTCTGGAACTCACTGATGCATTACCTCAAGAATAAAGAGGATTTGATTTTTTTTTAAAGAAACAAACAAAAAAAAACTTGATCATGAAGTTTAATTGCCTTATATACTAGCCAGAATGAAGTAACTATTTTTGGATGCCTTCATGGGCTTAATCATATTCTATGTAATTTTCCTTTCAGCAAAGCATCTCCATGTCATATAATTCCTTTATATAAAAGCATGTGAAAAACTGGGTGGATTTGAGACTGGTGTGTTTGGGGTTGCGGTCTCTGTGTAAAAGACAGTGGGGAAAAGCCAAACGTCTGCCCCACCAACATTTTGTCAGTCTGCAACCACAGGCCCATCAACTGAACTCAGGCCACTGACATTTGGATTCGTAAGATGGATGAACAATTAAGAGTTTGTTCTAAATAACCTGTTGCACTCTAACATAGCAAAATTGACTTTGGGCTTTACTGCATGAGCCCTTTTCTTTCAGCAATTGTGCTAGTGGTGGGGAAAGGAACATACTGCATTCACAGCAGCCAATATTGCATGTCTTCAGAATCATATGACTGAGGTTGCTGTTGCCATTACACTCCCCTTGACTGTGCCCCCTGCCTTATCCCCTACCCAGCATGCCTTTCAGTATTTTTATTTTATATTATTTTAGTCCCACTTTTGTCACACAATTCTGGAGCTCTGCCAGGAACCCCCCCTCCGGGAATCTGGCTGCTTGGGGATAGCAAGGGGAGGGGGAGAGGTGGAGAGGAGGGAGACTGAAACCACATACCTGCCAATCATGCAGTTGCCCTGGCCACAATGTTTTCCACCCAGGGGCTTGTGCAATTGCAAGGTCATTGATGGGTTTCCCCCATCAATGAAAAGTGATGCAGGAACAACAGGTCGGGCACAGAGAAGCTACAAGTCGGAAGTGTTCTCATGCAATAACTATAGCCCAAACTGTTTTTTTTTTCCCTGGTGTAACTGCATGAAATGATCTCCTTTGTTGATAGCAGCACTCGGCCACACAAATCTATAAATCTATCTATAAAAACTCTAAGACCAGAATGTGGATGGTGCTTCACAAATGTGTTATTTCTCCCATAGAAATGGCTCCCCTCCCATTGCTGTCTGGCCCAATTGGTTTTCTTCTATATACCTCCTCAAAATGGAAGTGTGCCCACCTTAGGAAAATGGCAGTGATCGGGAGAAGTATTCACAACATTTGCTCATCCTACCTCCGATTAAAATAGACTCCCTGTTGTTCTATGGTAACTGCTGGACAAAGCCTATCATGTGTAGTTTTTAATCAATATTGGAATAGGCTAACTCCAGCTGGCATCTACTTTGCTTTTCAGCTCAAATCCCTCTGAGTACTAGTTATTTGAGAAATCAAAGTATGATACAGAAGAAATACGGTTAAGCCTCTGCTGGTGTTTGACTCATCTGAGTTCCATGGGTTCATCTGAATGTGCTTGAAGAGCTGTTTCCAGACCCTGCATAGATGTCTGAATGTAGCCAGGCATGCAGGGGCATTGTGGACAGGGCTACATAAATTCCCACATCCATATCATTACTTTATTTTTACATATGAACAGGCTAACACCTGCACAGGACTTTAGAATTCAAGTATTCAGAACCCAGGAATTCATTAGTAACCAGTGGAATATAGATCAGAGTTTTTCTACACACACAAAAATTCCATACTAGATTTACCCTTCACTTTCTTCCTTTCTGCATTTCAGGAAGTCATTTTTGTTGCTGTGGTTATTAATTAGCTGGGAGACATAAATCCTTGCCAACCTACTGCAAATCAACCAGCAGATTCAAATCAACCAGCAGATTCAAATCTCCACCTACCTTAGTATAGTCTGTCTGCATATTTTATGTTTTATTTCTGGCCCACTGCCAACGTTGCAATGATATGGAGACCGCTAATCACTGTGTCTGCCTAGGTCTAACTCCAGCCTTTCCCCTGCTCTGCTGACCATAAATCTGTAACATCCCTCTTCCTCACCTTTTTCTTTTTCTGTGTCCAAATGCCCTCTATTTGTCTTTTATCTTGCCCACTGCTTTTTCCTCTAAGCCACGTAAGCCTCTTCATAATTCATAAATCCTCTTTTCACAGTACAGGTTGCATTTGGAACCTATACTGCATATCATGCATAAGGAAATTGAACAAATCCAGGAGGCTGAATTAAACTGCAAGTGGGGTACTGTGAGGTGAAAGCAAACCAAAGTCTGAACTGAACATCAGGCACCATGTACTGACAAAATGCTACAGTATTGAGCTCAGTTTCAGAAAACATTTTACTACAACAATGACTGGAAAAAATGTGCTTGGATGACGTTGAAGTCAAAAGAACTCCATCCCTTTATCTGGGTGGCATACCCCATGGAGACAGATCAATACACAAAGGTCTGTTTTCTCACTTGTCAACAGGACCCAAGTATATAGGGGAGAAGTATACTTTCTCAGAGCCCAGAGATGTGGTGTAAAGCAGTGCCTCTTAAGCTATCCAATCTTTTTCTGCCCAGTGTGCCAGTAATATTTGTGCTACAACTGGCACCAGTCCACTTTAAGTAGCACTAGAGTGAACTGCATAGCTCCAATTATGATTTGGAGAAAATCTGAGTCTAAACAGCAGAATAAGCTGGAAGATATTTCTGGAAACTGTGGGTACTATCTATGGCTATGCCTTTACTACATAATTAACATAATTTGACACCACTTTAACTCAATGCTATGGAATTCTGGAATCTGTAGTTTTGTGAGATATTTAGACTTCTTTGCTAGAGAGCTCTGGTGCCACAACAAACTATAAAATCCCCAGAATTCCATAGGATAGAGCTATGACAGTTTAAGTAGCATCAAACTGCATTAATTCTGCAGTGTGGCAGCAGTTGATGTTACAATTATCCAGATCTTCTGAAATTTGAGCCAATATAAAATGCTCTGAGTGCAAAGCAAATAATATTTTTGATCAATGAACTGGTAGACCACTGTTCCTCACCGCATAAGTCCACAAATAATGCAATTGCTAGCACAAAGCACCAATAGGATTCTACTAAGATGACTTGAAAGCGGCTTAAAAATAGAAATGAATCCTCTGTCCCAAATCTGAATCTATACAATTTGGAAATTTCTTTCCATTTTTATCTTGTTCTCTGACCAATATTTGATTGTAAACCTTTTTCTTCATAAAGTGAACATGTTCAAGGATATTTTCCTTAACCTTTACCAATGAGCTACTTAGTCCATTCTCCAACAAAACATTATTAAATTACAGAGAATTAGCACACTTAATGATTGTAATAGGCAACCCTTTGGCACTGTGACTGACATCTCTAACAATCTCATTTGCAATTTGTGGAGGATAAAATGCCAAGACTCAGGACAAGACTTGAATTAAAACTGGCAAATGTGATATGCTAGCCCTTTTATTTACAAACAGTCTATCTATTTATTAATTTATGGAAAAAATGCAGCCCAGTATTGTAAAACAAATAAAAAACAAATAAAGTTGACCCTTCCCATCTGCAGAGGTTTGGTTCTGCTCTCTCCCCCATGGATGGGAACAATACAAACAGTCACACCCCATATTTAATAGGTGGCAACATTCATGCATCTGTTGTCATCGCATTTGCATACACTTGCTGCCATTGAATAATAGAGAGTGTGGCGAGCTGTGGGCACTCCAAACCATGGAATACGAGCCTGTTGATGTGGCAGGCCCACTGTAAAGACAACTGCAAACAATTCAGGTTGCAATCCTAAAAAAGAAGGAGTGGAGGAAGTAGTGCTCCAAAG